TCGGAAAGACAGCAAGACAGGCCTTCATCAATCTGAAATCAGTGTAGAGATCTACTACAATGAACTCCACTCAACATAAAGAACAAGATCCAGGTTTTCAACACTAATGTCAGTCAAGTCAGTGCTTCTATATGATGGTTCGGAGACTTGGCGCATTACGAAAAGCATTTCCAACAAACCACAAACATACATCATCAACAGCTGCCGTCTACACTCACTGGATACTGAAGATCAGATGGATTGCCAGAATAATAAGAATAAGCAGCAAGGAACTCACTCTGGCTAACAAAAAACCAACCAAGAACCTATCCTCCAACAAATATGCAGAATAAAGTGCAGATGAATTGGACATACACTGGGGAGACCATTCGGAGACATCACGAGCCAGGCAGTGGAGTGGGACACAGATGGGATACGGCGAGTTGGGCGTCCGAGGGTGACATGGAGGAGATTGTGTGAGGAAGAAATGAGAGCTTCTGGGTAGTCGTGGAGTCAGGTTGAAAAGACTGGAGAGAAGAGAGTGGAATGGAGATGTGCTACTGAATTTCTATGTTCCACTAGTAACCCGAGGAGCAAATAATAATAATAATAATAATAATAATAATAATAATAATAATAATAATAATAATAATGAGACGGTGATTTCGATAAAAAGTGATACAAATCATTAACTAGGTAATATGTCATATGTAGTCTTTTCGGGCTACAAATACCAACTGACTGTCGAAACCTCGGTAGGTGGTAATTTTTTGTTGGCTGAAAGCCTATTCCTTACTTCAGCGATTCACAGATTAAAAATGTATTCGACTGTGAAAATGTGACATATGTGTTTATACCTGTTTGCATACAAATAAAGAGTACACTGAATTTCATTCTGTAAAACTAATTCTTCTTGAAGTATTAAAATCTAATTTTTATAAAAAGGGGATATTGACTATCGACAATCGAGATAAAAACCATGTTACCTCTTAACATTATGATTTTGACTATCTGAGATAGCCGTGGTTCGACAGACTAGTATTTATACTGGGTGATGGTGGTAGCTAGGAAAAAAACCCATGGTGATTGAAGTGAAATAAAAATCTGGTCAGCAGTCGGACCTCGTAGCTCAGTTAGTAGAGCATCGGGTCAGAAACGCGGTGGCCATTGGTTCGAATCCGACCGCGGTTCAAATTTCTATTTCACCTTCAATCACCACCCAGTTTCAGCCTTTAATATGACAAAAGCTGAAACGTTTTTTCGTTCACGTAAAAGTAGACATTAAATTACTGTTAATATATACGACATGATTTCACTAGTTCGTGTATTATCTACGTTAATAAAGATATCGTTAATTAGGCTAAACCACAATTAATCGAACTTTAGCGAATTTCAACTGACGAGCCACGGGTTCGAACGCCACTCTGTTTACCAACGTTTAGGCAGCCAGGTAGTTTCAATAGTCCTCATACAATAGGCGTGGTTCATTGCATATGGACAAGGTTGCTTACTGAATTTGAATTCGACATATGTCCTACCTGAATATTGCATACAACGCTGAAACAGATGAGTAGAACAACACTACACTAACTAAGGCGTGAAAACATTACAACAGGAAAGTTTACTTGTACGGCGAAACATTGAGATGAACTAAGAGAATGTGGTAGGAGAGGTAAACTCAACCCCGACTTATCATACAAGGAAACATATGATACGCGAATTTTCAATATTTCACTCAAAACAGCTTCCCAACATAGTAAAAGGACTGATTTTCACCTAATATAGGCTTTAGCGCCTTCCATCCTAAAGCTTCAAGGTGTAGTTGTAGGATATTACAGACAAGATACTTATAAGCTTATACCACTGCCAAAGCATCATGGCTAATACAACTACTAGTGGTAAATTTATCAAAAATCAGCTCGTTTGATGTCTACATGTAGAAAACAAATGTGCTCAGTCTATTTTCATTGCATCGACTTGCATTTGAAATGCGTATAAAGCACTTCAATTGCGATCTTTATGTAATAATACTAAAAATGGGATATGGGTGCGCCGAAGATCCGTCATTGCACAGTTAAAATACTTTGAATTACATGAAAAACGATGAGTCATCTGTGACGGTTCAAATAATGTATCTCTAAAAGGTTCGGTGTGATGAGAGAGGTTCGAGTGAAAGGCATTTATCAACCTATAACTCCTCAGAACTTCAGTGAGAGATGATGGTTTGATTTGATTTCATAATCAAATCAATATACCGATCAACGTCGACCGGAGGTCGAATATAATGTTCATAACAGAAAAGTGAACAGTTTGAGTTTGGGTTTAGTCTAAAAGTAGAACGCTTAAAAAGAGGCAAGCTGCACACTTGATGATCACAACTGAATTCGAGCTTTCGAAAGATTCGTAAAGTTTTGTACAAACTAGTACCCGGATTGCAGCCATTATAATTATTTATTCACTGTAATTTGGCTGGATAACATCGACATTGTAGTGTAACTATTACTATTAGTGACATGAATATCATAACATACATTTTGTATTCCGCGACTTTCATGAGTAGATAGACAGACAAAATCGAGGCAGAACCCCAGACACAAGTGCATCCTTTCAAGTTGCCACATTTTAGAGTAGTATACAAAGAGCAGGTAGATAGAAAATACAGTGATATCAAAATAGATAAAGCAGTGTAAAAGAAGAAACAATCTCAAGATGAAGGTTAGGGTGAATATTCAAGCTTTAGAAGATGTCTAGCAGTGAATGCATCTGCGTCACTGAGACCGATTTTCAGTCATGTCATCAACAGTCTCCAACCACTGATCCTTTTCGTCTCAGGGACCCCCACCAGACAGTATACATCTCCTCACATGCCTCAAACCAACAGTCAATGACTGGTGCCAGGTCTTGGTTTGGCCACCCTAAACCCTCTCTCAACCTAATCCAACTTCCTCCACCAGCATGACACATCGAGGTAGGCGGTGGCTCAGCATGTACGGTCTTTCATCAGTAGAAACAGATTTGTACAGAAGCAGGGATTCGAAATTACACCACTTAGTACTGAATAAAGTGGTATGGTCTGTTACATTTTAGCTTACGGTAGTTAGTATGAATTGTGTTTAGAAGAAAGTTGAAAAAATTTAGCGCAATCAACACCACCACACGTAAATCCATATAAGCTAAATATCGGCTTTTAGCAATTATAATTTTGTTATTTTATTCACAATTTTTTGTGGTGATTTTACTTTTCACCATCTGTTAATAACAGAATCAAAAGTATAAAAAGTTTCATATGATCACATTTCATCATATGATGATCCATATATGGAAAACACTAAAATGTAATAATACATTCAAAATATATTCGTACTTAATCTTCTAGCGTATACTTTTTATTGTTGTTCAGTGAGAAAATGACTATTAAATTCGTCTATGTCCCAGATAATAATAATAATAGACTAGAAATACGTAAGACTATCTACGTTAGACTAACTTTATTTATATCAAAGTGTTGTAGGACAAAAAATTATTTTCATAACAGTATCCCGTTAAACTACTGTTATCATTCTACTAAGGAATGGATTGTTCAATAGATCATTCATTACTAGACGGCAATAACCCGTGAATTGCTTGATTATTTATCTGAGCTTTGCAAGGAAGTGTAGACTTCCTAGTTGGAGTTTAACAGACAGACAATCAAAATAAGTGGTCATAGACTTTAGGGGATAAGTCTTCAAATAGATCTACATCTTATCTGCATTTTAAATGTGATATTATACATATTTATCCATTTTATTCCCTTGTTTTATGTTTCTTTTGTAACCTCTGATGTAATATTTTCATTCTTGAATGCGATGATTGAAACACCAATTTTAAGATGGCATTCATCACGAAATGACATCAGTTGGAGAAGTATTAAAAACCTGGGAGTACTAAACAGCCATTTCCTCCTAGCATAGGACTCCCCAGCAGTGTGCACTCACAACCCGACCAGGGATCGAACCCAGGGCTTTCAGATCTTTCGGCAAGCACATTACCATCCAGTCGCTGGGTTGAAATTCAATGGTCCACATTTTCTTACCTCCATCAATTCAGGATATAGCACGGTCATCATCCAGTACCACCTGACCTAATCGACCCTACAAGTCACGACTTTTGATTATAGCTTCAGGACATTTCATATCGAAGTATGTCACTTCATTAGTGAGTACCGGATATCGTTTTAGGGCGGTATTCATCACGACGTGACGTCAGTTGAAGAAATGTTTTGTCTGCTTCTGTCTAATCTAAGCTGGAAAAGTCATTAGTGCAAACGTCTCTAAACCGTTAAATATTACCAATATGACTTTACTATTAGTTTGTTGTTTTGCAACAATACAACAATTCTCGCCGGAAAATTGAGTGATATCTCCGAAGAATATCAAAGTCTGACCAGCTTTCAATCCAATAGAACTTTAGTTCAATCGAGACACTAGGGTGATTCTAATTTTCCCGGTCCAACAGACAGTTAACACTTTTTTCTTTATTTCTGGTGAAACAATTCGTGGTCTACAGTGTAGTGTATCACACCTCAATTATCCGTGCAAAAACGCCAGAAGACTAAAAATACAACTCCATCACCTTCATAGTATTATAGTGTCTGATATTTTATCTATTTTTTCCAGTGAAAACAACACAAACATTATCAGCAAAGCGATGCTGGTCACAAATCCGCCTGATACTAGGAGTACTAAAGTGATATATCCATATCGCACTTCAGATAACATCACTGGTCATATTCTCGACCAGCTGAAAAGTCTTTCAACTTAGCGACCAAAAGATTTGCATGGGAAAATTCTTCACCGTTCAGTCAAGTCACACCACTGTCACAGAAGTTAAAACAGCAGCCACCAGTAAGAAAATATTGGTTGATTATCATCTAGTAAGCGTTCCTCATGGACAACACTGTTTGCCATTGTCCTAGACGATAGCTCCCTACTAGCCTTTCCAGGACTATAAACATTATTAGGATTACTGTGTTAACTTACACATAGAAAGCCAATATGGGACACGGAAACTGGCAGAAAGAACTTGATTTTTCAAATGAGGAAGAGATTGAGCATCGAATGGAAGAGCGCCACAAACCATAACATAGAGGATTACACCCAAACTCTAAAATATAAGGTAAAAATCGATTTGTAGGCATGTTAAGTTTAACTATAGAGTCGGTAATTCTAGTCAATAGATAGTTCTGAAGGTAACGCCCCGAAGATAACGCGGTCTACTAACTGATACCGATAGTATCATGATAGACTGATACAAGTGACTTAGTCAAATTGTTCATTATCACCTCATCAAAAAGGCTAACTTTTATTTAAGCTGAACAAATTTCACTCAGTAGTTCCACCACGCACAGGCGATACTGTACAAGAATCAGCAACTCACAACATGTACATGAAAATTCGCGAATGGTATTTCACCTCAGCCAACACTAACAAACTTTTGTCCGATACTACATAAACGAAGTATGTAACATAAATAATGAATGCAAGTTTTTGTACAAGGGAGAACCGACTAACCATAACTACTCATGGGACACTAGATACGGTGTTAGTGAGACGAATAATCATGTTAGACTAAGAGTTGTAGACAAGTAACAAAAGGCAGTCAATGAGTTTTTCAAATCCCACCGAGTGAAATAGTTGGCATATCTACAAACAATGCACGATGTCCGCTGAAGTAAGAACAGTTAGGACGAAGAAATGGTACGCATTCATCACAAAGCTACCAACCGTTGTCCCAAGCTATACGTAGACAACCTAGTTATGGCCCTCAGAATAGGCAGTAACTGAACATGACTCAAAAGGGATGACAATGAAATGGATAGGCCTTTTTTCTTTCTTCGTTTTGAAAGATTTCATCACTTTACATTCATTTCTTCCTCTCTTGTTTAATGGCTGAATTTTTGTGCGTTTGTGAAATGTGGTAAGCTGAAGTGATACACTTTTGTACGAGATTCTAATTTAGTCTGCTTTTTACAATACATTAAAAACTGACTATTATTTTCACCAAAATACGAGTTAGCTTCCTTTTATAACCGTTGGATGATCCAATTCAAGGACTAGCTAACACCTAACTGTGGGGTATGACAATACTAATCATTTGTCTAGACTTATGTAACTGGCATGAGATTTCAACTCAACATAGACCCAACGGTTAGTAACCGAATGACTACATTAGACAGCCACTTTCCTGATGCTTAAGTGAATATGATAGGAAGATAGTTTCACTAAATAACATAAACAAACAGAGATCACGTACCCATATATCAGCTTTCACACCAATGTACGGTTCGCCTAAAAATATTTCTGGTGCAGCATATGGAGGACTACCACACCAGGTACTTAGCAACTGATCAGATGAACTGAAATATGTTCCAAAACTAAAATCTAGGAGAGAAATAATCAAAATTGTTACTGTTGATAATTACAATGATACAAAGTGATAACAGAATTATGTATAAACACGGTCAAACAACCAAAGTTAGGACTTTACATTGATCAAGTTATTCTTCCTTTCATCCTCTTACACAACCTTTAAAGCGAAGTGGTAAGGTCCATATATGATACAGTTCATTGCTTTTGAAAGTAGTTTCCAGTACTCGTGGATATTCACGAGTTCTACATGTTTTCAAAAAGTGTATGCCTCTTTAAACCATTAAATCTGTTTTTAAATATTAACTTTAATCAAAGCAGTACACTGCATTATTCTTTTAATGTCGTACCTATAACAAAAAAGGCATTAATACGAATGGGAATGATAGGGCACAGTATACTTTGACTTCCTGAGAATTTTTAAATCATCTGGGTAGAAAAAAGTTGTATGAAGTAGATTAAAGTAAAACTTTGAAGTGGAATTGGATACCTAAAAATGCCAAAATTCATTGGTTCGTATGAATGAATCATTACAGAACAATATAATCATTAAGTAACCTGAAAACATAGTTTGCTATAGTTGCGCTGTCTTTTTAGTGTCTCAAACGAGGTATAAGGAGAATAAAATATTTCGTATGTAAGTAGGAATGACAATACTTTATCTAAACAACCGGTTTACTACATCCATATACATACCATGGATGTAAACTTAGTTTGGAAAGAGTACAATATCAGATTTTTAGTGATTCAGATATGTATACGAATTCGAACTACTTTATTCAAGTTAGATACTCGAGTAGCATCATTAATTCCCAAATAATTGCACTGTATGCACAGTGATTCTGTTCAATTAACTATACCTAAGTAGATAAGTTCGTATAACTATTTGATTTCATTTTTACTTGTGCATAAGGAATACTACATAACGGTATCTTTAGATGGGAAGATGTATGTATATACACTAAAAGTGTTTCTTAGTCTGGATACGCATAAATACAAACAATTGAAGTGATACTATACATCGCTTCTCCAGAGATTTTGTGCTTAACTTGAATGTTTCCGGTTGATAGCGTATCAATCTTCATTTTAGCTAATAAGTTTATCCTTTTATACAGCATTCTTAATACTTATTATCTTTTTATAAATGAGTAAGCATATGTCAGTTACATTTCGTTCATATTTTTGGATTATATTTCACTTATAAGTTGACGCTTTCACAACTTCATTCTTCACTGCACATTCTTACTAGTTCGCAAGTCTCATTATCTCTCTCATATTCTATCCACTTTGGCTTACATTTTGAGTTGACCACAGTAAGTTCAACCGGTTACGATTATGATTTATAATCACAACTTCTTCTTTATATTTCTGCACACAGCTATAATTCCCAATAAAATGATAAAAAGAATTGGTTTAAGAACTTATTCTGAAGGCAATAGATGCACGTTACAGAGATTTGTTGGTTTTCAACTTTCATAACGGATTAGCAGAAGTAGGAAATAGTGGACCAGTGGACGATGACTCAGTAGCTCAATGATACTGTGCTCACCGTGAAACTTGACAGTCCTGCGTTTGATCCTTCCACAGATCATCAGTACGTACTACTGAAGAGTCCCACAGTAGGACGAAACAGTCCCTTAATATTCCCATGTTTTTTTTGTTTCTCTAAATGATGTAAATCCGTGATGAAACCTACGTTCGTTTTATTGGATACAACTAGTATCGTATTTGATAATACCTTCTTTCTCTCCAACATCAGGGACTGTAACAAGCATTTTTGCTCATTAAAATTTCTTTTTGTCCAATAATAAATTTGAGTTTTTCCTATCAAGTCAAATCACTTTGGTTTCGATGCATTACTGAGATCAGTAACAAGATTAACCAATAATACAAAGTTTACACTTATTCAGATGAAATATTCCTAATACTGAATGAAATCACTAATTTACTAAATCCAAATAAAAAAAGGGCTTACTTATTATTGTACAATATTTAACAAATATGGGCATTGGTATTTGAACTTCACCAAAAACGGTATATTTTAAAAGATAATAAAAACCATGAAATAACAGTAAGATACTTACCTACTAGTTTGATATTCATTTCTGAATCTAATAATATATTTTCTGCTTTTAAATCTCGATGTACGATACCACATGAGTGAATATAATCAACAGCTGAAAGAACATCTAAAAATTTCACTCGTGCATCGACTTCAGAGAATCTTCCATATGTGGCTATATAGTCTTCAGAAGAAAGTAATACAAAAACTTTAATATAACTAAAATATCATGGTATAAGGTATATTTTACTTGTATTATCCCAGAGAAGTATATTAGACCAAATAACAAAATAAATAAATATTTTGTATTATTCCTTAATGTTTCGATCTTGCTAAGAAGATCATTTTTAAGAGTATGAATCTGACATAAAAGGTACAAACATTTAAGATTGTAAAGAAATATTTAGAAATAATAACGTTTAAGGACCCACCGAATTCACTGATCAATAGAGCAATAAACAACAGACTGAACACATACTATATATACAACACTGACAAAAACAGTCGTTACGATGATTTAGATTATCTGATTGTTAGTAGGTCGATTTATCATATTGAAAATGCCGCTGAACGAATCGGTAACAAAACAATAAATTCTCAGGAAAATACGAAGTCAACATATATAAGAGGATTGCTGTCCTTGTCTGTAAATTTCATAAAACCTTGAATACAGTTTTGAAAACCCTTTAGATAATGATCGAAAAGCTTGGAAACCGTATTTCAGAAACACTAAAATATAAAGAACTACAACCTGCTAGTTTTCTGCAGTCGACAACCACTCATGTAACCACAGGCACCTACCAAGAGGTTCACACCCTTTTTTACAAGGTGTACTAATTCAGTACCTTTCGTCTGCCTTAAAAAGGACAGTAATTTTGCCCTGAGTATTTGTAGACTAGCCACTATTTTTACAAGCTTGCTTATATCAGTGTAAAATGTTATCCTTTGTGAGATTTGATTTATTTGAACACTACCATTTTAATACGCTTTAGCTAATTTCAATGTAATTCCAAGTTCTTTGCCAACTCTAATTATATGAATGTTTCTTAGACCACCTAACTAGAACATAGAGTTTGTTTCTTTGATTACGTATACCTTAGTATTATACGGTCGGTCACTATTACAATAAGGCCTGGAAGTACAATGTGACAGTCGTTGTCATATCTCAACCGTATATCAAGGTAAAAAGCACAAAGGTGAACGATAGAGAAATAAGGAAGTAGTCAAAAGTTATTGAGCCAATCAAGCCTTTTGTATCTGTGGGGAGAGTTCGTCCGTCAATGATCCACCAGTGCAGACGCAACTTTCCACGTAAGTGAAGTGGTAAGCGTGCCTAACCACTTCACTCCCTATTGCCCGATGAGGCACCAACGCACACTAGTCCTGGAACAACAAGTTGCATTTGGGCGGCGAAAAACCCACCCCAAACATCCTTAACCTGCCACTCAAGGTCTCCAGAAGACGTTGCCTCTTGTCAGTGTACTCACTTAACAGGACTATGTCATCCGCGTACTCTAGATCTACTTAGGATTCTCCTGTGAAAAGACCAATCTCTTTGAAGTTACACAATGAGAGGGAGACCTTCATAGTACGTCTACGATGAAATTGAACAAGAATGAAGACAGTGGACCTCCATGACAGACACCACTGGACGTACATAGCTCAACTGACAACACATTATAGGATCCAATATGCCTAATGATGTTCGAATACAAGGTCTTCAACAGGATGATGTACTTACCAGACACTTTATTTGAAGTGAGAAACACTACCATAAAATATCCCGATCGGTGGAAATGCAGTTATTATTGAGCACCCTTAAGTGTGCCTGCGTTAAGGATGGGGTGAAGGGTAAACATCCGGCTGATACACCCACGGTCAGGTCTGAAACCTGCCTGGTTTTCTCAGGTTTGCTTTTTCTGAGCTTCGCTTAGGCCCCTAGCGATTAAAGGACCTAAGATGTTAGACACTATGTCCGTCGGGCTGATTCCGCTGTGGTTACCACCATAGGAGTTTTCTGCTTTCTCTAATAGCACCAATCAGCTGAGAGTGTTTATATATATATATATATATATATATATATATATATATATATATATATATATATATATATATATATATAGCCAATTTTTTAAACGGAACGTTAGGATTTATACACCGAATAGTCAGTGACAGAAACAAACATAATTCCCAGACTTTTAGCTGACAATTACGTTCAAAAAGCAAAATTAAATTTTTCATTTCTCAGTCCGCATAAAAATAAAAAATTTAAAATGCCCATAGGCTTATCCACTCCAACTTAGATTTCATAAATAAGAATAAGACTACGTTCAACCATGGAATGGTATCACTCTGATCCTAACACTGAAATCGTAATTAGACTATGAAATTACTGCTCTTCACCGTAGGAAAAATCAAATGCTTCTTTCTGGAAAATAAGTACTAACAAATAAGAACCAGATTTATTACCGGGGGTATATAATCACCTCTCTCCATGTTTGTCCTCTGGGAAAACAAGGAGCAAATATATTAAACTGTATGAACGCACTACATTAAAAAATTGAACCATACCTTATTTAGCTTGTGTTTTGTGCGAAGAAAATGTTAGACATAGTCAAGTTTGCAATAGTGAACAGTTATCATGTTCCTAAAGTCACTAAACATCTAAACAACCATGCTATTCTTCATCATATATTGTAAAACAGCACCATTTTTAATATATTTGAAAAATATTGTTGCTGAGAATTTTTTACTGTAAACATATCGTTTGGAATAAAGCAGATATTATTATTCATCAGCTTGTGTTATAATACGCTCTGGGTCGTGTAAGCTAGTTTTTCCCATACAGTTGTACATCCACAGTTCCGAATATGGAAGTTTTATTTAATGCTTCTGTCACGAGTCCCTTCACATATTTGTAAACTGGTCTTCGATGCTGACTATAGGACCAATGAGTGACTTTTAAAAATATAAAAGCATTGACTGAGACCAAGTGGTGTTCAAAAGCTACAATATTCCGGTGGAATGAATGATGAACACCTGTTATATTAACTGCCTCCTATAAGAAATAAGACGCTACATTGCTCAAGCATTTAGAAATGATGGTCCTCGAGATAACCGACTGATTCAAGCTGGAAACTCAAGTAGCATAACGATATCATGATCAAAAATCAAAACACTGAGGAAAACCGACTCTACATTTATCTTCACATAAATCCTGATTATATTACCATTAGCAGATATAAACTAAAATCATTACTTTTTACACATTTCTCTGTATATTATTAGAGTCGTATTATTTATTGTTGCCTTAGAGTTGTTAGCTATCCTTGAGATTTTAAATTTCTTGGAGTCATTTTTAATTGCTTAATAGTTGATATTTCAAGGCTGTCTCCTCGTAAAATACTTAATTTAATCTTTTATTGGTTAGGTGCCCTTCTAATTCCTCACACTTGGTATTCACACATCGGTGCAGATTGGGTGGAAAGTAGGTTAGGTTAGAATATTGAGAAATCTCGTGGTTGGGAAGTGCTATTCAACAGATTAAACTAAAATCTCAGTAAGTGAGGAAGTTATGCATTTGACCACCTTAAGGAGTATCAGGGTCTCTTGTTTTAGCGAAAATGCCATGGAATAGTCATATTCAAGTTAGGTATAAAGTTTAGTCAGCTGATAAATTGTGAAGTTCTATGAACTGGGGTGGCTAGGACGTGTCATTCCAATCGATTTAACGCCTATGAGATGAGCGATGTTAAGTGGAGTATAATTCGACTAGAAAGATGTGTGTCTCAAAAAGAAACCACTATATTCTCTATAAAAAGTAACTTTTTTTCTAATATCCTTCAATTTCGATTTACGACCTCCGACTTATCTGTAAGATGTGGCAAACTGAGCTAGAACAGAGTAATGCCAGGTTCCGTATTGATTCAGACTGGCTTGACTTTGTTCAGTGGACTGCGGGGTGGAATCTTGATCTACCTATAGGGGTTTCAATAATACAGAAGTAATCGACGCTCCCAGAAAATAGATGTAGTTTTCAATCTATTTTGTGATCCCGTATACGACTTCAAGTTGTTATTTTATGGTATTTGGAGTTCCTAAATCATATTCCTCGAGAAGATTTCGCATAAAATACCCTGCGATACAAGTTAAAGAGAAAAAAACCTGGGAAGGAACTATTCAATTCTTGATAAGAACAAGTAAACTAGGTAGCACTTCTCCACGAACACCATGATACTTCTTGACACACTATACGAAATATTATTTTCCTGAGTAGTATACGATTTCTTGTTCTAAATAATGCGAAGCAATGAAAAACACGTAAGGAGGTTGCATCAAGATACTTGCGCTTATGGAATACTTTAAACAACTGTCAAAAATATAACTTTTGGAACAAACACCATGAAGTCAGATGGCTAGATCTGTTTTCCTAGGCTTAAACTAACAACAGCATAACTATGACTCAGCATACGAAAAGTTTATTACTTGGTTTGGGTACTGCGTTCTTCGGATGCGTGCATGAGAATTTATGGTTTAGGCTGTTGAAGGAAAAAATAAGATGATACAACTTATCTGTTGACTAGCAAAACTTCTGATAACTAAAACTATACACAAGTCAAGGATAACCGATCTGATACAAAAAAAGGCTCAGTGACTCACCAAATAGTTCTCCATTTGAAACATACTCCATTACCATGCACAGCAGTCGCTGTGTTTCCATGACCTAAGACATGTTGACAGTAAAATTAATTATACCTGGTAGAGTTTGACTATATTTGAGTGGTGAAGTTCTTTCAGAATATCGGATTCTCGGTACACCTTTTTGAGATTTTCGGGACTTAGACATGACTTGTCGATTATTTTAATTGCAACCTAAATAACAAATATAAGGGAATTTCAACGAATTACGAAAATTCCGGTTATCGTATGTCTGGCAAGTTTGACAGATGAAAAGATTCCTTTACCGATGGTTCTTTCAATAACATAAGTGCCTAACTTCGGCTTCGATGATTGTTGGAGGTGGTTTGATACTTCACTCGAAGACACATCGCTCACGGCCGAGGCTATCCTATTCGTATTTGAGTTTAAATCAGCATTTCTAGTGAATTTGCCTGCAACACAGTCAGGAACACCACAAACACAAAAGCTGTCTGAGTCCCTATTCTGATAAAACTTGGACGAATCATGTGATGACAAAGAGCTTTTACTGGTAGAGGATACTGCGTCATTTGCAGAGTTGGTGTCACTCTGACAATACTGATGTGTATTCATATTTTGTGAATATGTGCGTTAGCTGTCTTAAAGTGCATCCAAACACCCATATCATTCAAAATCATCTGGATTAATACAGCCACATGATATATCCCTAGGTCAGAACAGATATATGGTACGTTGATGACAGACGTTATGGAGAAACTGTCAGAAAATCGGAAAAACTATGACTTAGGAGAAATCTTTACGTAAGCAAATAAACCACAAAAATGTATTCCAGGAAGTGAAGATAAAAGGTGTCTAGTTTAAAACAGGGTGAATCTAAAATATGGAAGAACTGAGACAACAGAATGCTGAAATTTACTGAGGAGAAAAACTCCCTAAGGAGAACGATTGTTTCACGTTCGTACTTCGTGATGCATAAGTAGGAAAAAACTCTGGCAACTGTCAGTTGGGATATATAAACGGGGACAATCTAGTTCTCTACCAAATAAGCGGAACGAAACTTCTTGAAAGAAGCATGACAAAATATAGACATGCTAAGAACATTCGCAAGACATGATACGTAAGCCACAGGCAACATTAAGCCTAAATACACAGAGCACCAAATGTAGCGCCAATGATAAACGTTTCTCAATAAGAGATTCAAACAAATACAATAACAGCAAAATACTTATCTAGAAAGTGAATCCAGTGCCTCACTTCACTCTTTTTGTGCTTTAAAGGCCATTTTTATGACTAAAACATCCTTGCTAGACCGTATGACTTCGTTTTTACCTTTCAATTAAGTGGACAATATGTCCGCTTATCTGTCTGGATCATTGGAAGAAGTATGTCAGTTGAAGTATAATATAATCTCGTGCAAGCCCTAAAAAATTCCCTCGCGTTTGCCCCTCGTTGGAAAATTTGGTTCTGCCACCAAAAATTTTGTAGCTGTTTCAATACATTTTATTAATCTTTAGCACCAAATATTTCCCCAAGCTTAGTAACCAAGGCTTCTGCAACATTCACAGTTTTGATGAGTTGGCAAGGTTGAATCCCCACAGTCAAGCATCCACGTTATTTGAGACGCTGCCACGTCATGTCGCGTTGCTCGCATTTCATTCCCTAGGCATTTGGTCAAAACGCAAAGATGTTACGGCACAGTCTGACAGCTATACAATTCCTACCTGGCCACCCTATTGTGTCTTTTCTTCATCCAGTGCTCTTAAGTATTCTACTAATATAAAGAACTAGTGACTGGCCTATGTGTCTACCAAGTTGTTACAGGAAACTCCTTGGACGATCTTCGAGAAAGACATTGGGTAGGCATAAATAATTTCGAAATAAGGCAACCAGAAACGGGTGTTGTTACATGACGTAACTTACGAGGGAGAACCTAGGCCGAATTACAAAATGGGCGCTGGCATTAGGAATTTTGACGTGTGAATCAGTCTATTCTTCCGAACATGCGCAGCGCCTAAATGGATGATGGTATACAGAGCCTTATGTTACTTGGTCAAAGTATTGTAAAGTGGGCACTATGCCCAGAAAATGTCGGCAACTTGACAACTTGAAAGTCACCTTCCAAAAGATGGAACCTTCAGGTCTTTTATTAATAGTCATCCCAAAAGCGCCCTATAGAGATTCCTGAAATCCTGTAGGGTAGACTGAATGACAGAAACAGACAAAGACTGAATGATGAGAAGGGATTCCTAATGGAATCAGAATTCCAGCAATAATAATTCCGGATGAACAGAGACGGCTGCAAATACAACGATGAAAACGTGTGATCAGCTGGTTTCTGGGCGTGGAACCGATAGATCACAAGCTCCTTCGTTTGTCAAACCACGCACAAATGAACAGAAACATAGACAGGTGTCAAGTAGCCCCAGCTACTTGATTCCTCTTCATAGTTTCATGTCATTGGCAAAGAAGGAACTTCAGAAAAACACATTTAGGTAGATCGATCCCCGAGGATCTCCAATGAGACACTCGGTTCCCTCAGACGCGGGGAACCTACTCGTTCCTCAAGGAAACAGCCATTCAGATGTGGGAACAATTGGTAAGTGAACGGGGGTTTCAGCCTAATTAACCTTGATTTATCAATAACGCGGGGACAATTTAAACAGTCAAACAATTTTGGAGTTCAGTTTGGTAACATCAAATCTTCCTCAAAGGTCGACAACACTGGCTCCTCCATCTACTGCAGTGGGCGAGTTAGTAGCACAAAAGCGCCCCTTTCTGTATTCCCGTTGATGGGGTGTAGAGAAGTGAATTATTATCAGGTGATCCGTCAGTACAGCGCAAATTAGAGAATCCATAACTTTTCAAGGCTTGGATAGGACGTTCGCCAGTGTGCGGTCCTTCTGATTGCTTCGCTAAGCTTCTCTGAAGATTGGTGTCATGTTAGTGAACCTCAAGGGATTGGGCACTATCACCTTAGTCGCAGCGTTCCCAAGTAACTCGCTTGGAAGCCCAGACAAGGCCAGTGATCCTGCCCGTGAAACTGCCGTATTGCTTTGGCTTTTCTCGGAGAAGCATCCCTCGTGGGCAGTGGCAACTTGCGCTGGGCTGGCCCAACACTCAAGTCAACGACCAAGAGTCCTACTTGGTTGGTTGGAGATTCGTCAACTCACGGGAGGGTGGGCGATGAAATAACCTGAAGATAATGATGGCCTGGTGCTTCCACGGCTTAGCTACCCCCGATAGCTGCGGTGGCGGTTTTATAACGCTTGTAGTTTTCGGGTATATTTTCTTATTACATTAGGTGACTAGGAGCACGTTGGCATTGTAGGTGGAACAGACTGGCTAATGGCATACATAAATTTGTCAAGTATGAATCTGGAGTGAATGTTCCCATTCGACCGTACATGGCCAGTTTTCCAAGGTTTCACCTCCAGTGCCCTTCGAATAGTGAGTTTTTCACTCCCCTAAAGTCCCATCGACCCTCATGAGGGGGCTGGGTTTGTTGAGTATTGCAGATACTCATGAGGCCGATGCCGACATGATCACTCGTTCCCAAAGAGGAGAGAATCGCCGGATTTCTCGGTCGCAGACCTTTTATTATTGAATGTGTATCCTAAGGTAGGTGGTGTTTCGGCATCCCTCTACTGTGTTAACGACCTCACGGTTTCCGCCAATCCTCCTTTTTCAGCAAGGTCTAGGAAACAAGCTTTGCTTAAGTCGACGGTTCCACTAAGCGTTTGATCCACAAGCCTAACCCTAGGTGGGTTGAAATCTCATGGAATTAGAATGTGTATATCCCAGTTTAGGAAATCATATGATTGCTTATAGCCTTTCTTCATTGTGCCGGACGTCGGCAGCTGACTTCCTATAAGTGAACCTCATTGGGTAATTAGTCATCTTGGACAGCCTTACGGGGCAGCAGGTAGGCTTTACAAGGACGTTCAGTTTATGAATATGGAGTTGTGGTGGTATAAGAGAGGAACAACGACGAAGCGCAATCTCACTCCCTTACTCACCCCTTGTCGCTGTGAAACAGTGTGTTTTTGGCAGAAATCTAACCCTGATCTGGGATTGCAGGGAAAACCCATGTCTCAGCAACATCCACCAGTGTAATGGAGCGTATTTCATAGCGGTTAGATTTTCCCGCAGATACACAGCGTCACCTATTTTCAGGCATTTCTTGGCGAATGTTAAGAAAAGCGACCCTGAGGAGAATTCAGGTGTATCGAATTAACTTAAACTACTTTAACCGAACCAACCTATTACTTGCAGGTAATGCATGCCCAGGAACACTACATTTAGCATACCAGGCTATTTGGTAGCTAAGCATTAGAGTGAAGTAGGACAAAATGGGTCACTAGAAAGAACTGTCGTTTCCGTTCTTGCCAATGCTTAACAGGGCGACCCACGAATCTCAATCTAATGCACAGCAGGTAGGTGCACAGTAAACTGATGTTTTAATGAACTCACCACGGTTGCTGCATGCAAATATTTTCGAAATGCTATGGTGAAACATCTTACAGCGCTGAGGAAGTTCGCAGCTCGAAAACGAGACATACAGTAATTGCTAAAGTTTGGGAAACATAAAAGAATTGTAAGGCTGTAAGTACTAGGCATTCGTCCTAGCCGTTTCTTCTAGATAACTCCCCGCAGACACAAGTTGGCGATCGCTTATTTGCATTTATTTATTTAAAGCACCCGAAATGCGACACACAAAAATAATATAACGTCAAGAAAGTGCAAGAGAAGTACAAGAAGTATTCAACACTGCTCAAATCTTTGGATTTCTGTGCAATTGTTAGTTTGACGGTGCCTGCAAACCGGCTTCTCGCATGTTAACTTCATAACCTGAGAATAAAATATGTATTTGGTCACTTTAATTCGCCAAGGTTCTTCCATTTCATCCACAATTTTGTGATATAGTCTTGTCCACGACGAAACACTTCAAGCAAAATTTCATGTCATAAATAGATGTCTGAATAAATATTTTATTCTCAGATTAGTAATTTAACATAAGAGAAGCCGGTTGACAGGCATTATCGCACTGCCATAAGTTGAAGAATCTACAAGATTTAACGGGTGCTCAATATTACAGAAGGGGGGTCGTTAGGCCCAGAAGGTCATGATAGTTATGAGACAGACAAGAAAATACCACTTTGCAGCATATGTGGGGTGTCAAAGAGAAGGTAACAATGATTCTTATTCCCACATAATGGATTTAACATGGGGGATACCGGTTTACAAGGATCATCAGGTTGATAATTCTTGAAAGTTTACAAAATGGTAGTTGATACCATCTAGTTGACGTACAAAGTCATTGATATGCATGATCTTGTTAGAACTTGCTTCAACTCGTGTGACGGGCATGCATTTTCATCTGCTATCACACGGATAGGTTCCACTATTAACAACAAAGGCGTGCAATGTTCGAAGTTTGGGTTATAACCAGCCGACCTTGTTAGTCCATTTGCACAGTCTGTTGTTTAGTAATATAGCCGTCCATTCGTTAGAAACTTCTTCAGTTTTTATCTTTGCTAGCCACAGAAGAACCCATCTGTACGACCAGGAGTATCAGTAATTATCCACAATTATATAATCAAGGATTTGTTGTTTTGTTTGGCTCGTTATTGCCGTATGTTTATGGTAATGCAACGATCCATTCTGTCCGGATAATTCGAGGCCACGTTTTAGCCTATAGGCAGTGTATTCCCTGTCTTTTGTATTACATGCCTTTACCGTCAGTCGCATACCTCACTTAGAACCTACTTTAAGAATGGGACGGTCGAAAGCAAGGCACTCAAATTAAGATAGCTCTGGGAATAAGAATACAAAGGTTGGTTCCACCAATATTTCGGGTTGTGACCGAAACTCTATCGCGCCATATAATCCAGACCCTGAAGAATTTGCATGCCTTACACTTTTCTCCTGGGCTGGAGACACCATGTCGGTGATGAATAATAACATCAAGGAAGATAGAAAGGAAGTTGACCATATCAAGTCCACGAGAGATGGTATCAAGAGAGCAGTTGAGGACCTCCGACCCTTAGCATATCTTCTCCGGGAACACAACGATCCAGTCCCAAACCATATTGAAGAAGCTGAAACCCTAACTGACTACGTGGCAACTGAAGTAATGAAGAGGCTGGCATCTTCTCAACAGGCCACAGTATATAATGTCCCGGATACCACATCTTTGGACGTTATCGAGAAGGGGTATTAAACTCATGTGGCATGACGGCTATGCATTGC